GGAACGGTCTCCCGTTCTTGTACCGTCTTTTGTGATATAGAAATCGAACGGCGAGTTTGTCGTTGCTCCGGTGGGTTTTCCGGAACGATCTCCCGTTCTTGTGCCGTCTTTTGCGATATAGAGATCGAATGGCGAGTTTGCTGTTGCTCCGGTGGGTTCTTCGGAACGATCTCTCGTTCTTATGCCGTCTTTTGCGATATACTAGGGCGGTCCGATAAGTACTTAGCCTCACCGCCCGATGGCGCCACTATCGCAAGAGAAATTTACTATCGTGTAGTACATTCTCGTAGACGGCTACTGTCGAAATTTCAGCCGAATCGGACTCGTAGTTTTGTTTTGACCGCGTGTGGAAGCGGGCGTGTCCGCGGATTTTAGAAAAATGGAAAAAGAGCAATATCGGTCGATGATTCGATTCTTGTTTTTGGAAGGGAAATCGCGCAGTGAAATCAAAGAGCGCTTGGATGCTGTGTACGGTGACTCTTCTCCTTCGATGGCGACCGTCAAAAATTGGTTTAACGAGTTTCAACGTGGTCGCACGTCGGTTTTTGATGAGCCACGCCCAGATGCCCCGAAAACGGCTACCACGGAGGATAACATGACAAAAATCCACGATCTCGTATTGGCAGACCGCCGATTGAAGGTGCGCCAGATAGCTGAGACAGTAGGCATTTCAAAAGACCACGTGGGTCATATCCTGCATGAAATTTTAGGCATGAGAAAGCTGTCGGCGCGATGGGTGCCGTGTTTGCTCACTCCGGACAACAAGCGCAACCGTGAGACCACTTCAGAACAGTGTTTGACGCTGTTTAAGCGCAATCCGAAGGAGTTTCTGCGTCGTTTCGTGACCGTCGATGAAACATGGATCCACTGGTATACACCAGAGACCAAGGAACAGTCGAAACAGTGGACTTCACCCGGCGAACGTGCTCCGAAGAAGGCGAAGATTGCCCTATCGGCCGGAAAGGTGATGGCTACCGTTTTCTGGGATTCACAAGGTGTGATCTACATCGACTACCTGGAGAAAGGCAAAACGGTCACAGGGCTGTACTATGCCGAATTATTGGGCCGATTCGACGCCGAATTGCAGAAAAAATGGCCCCATTTGGCGAAGAAAAAAGTGCTCTTCCACCATGACAACGCACCGGCTCACACCTCCGCCCACGCCACGGTCAAATTGGTCGAATTGGGCTACAAACTGCTGCCCCATCCACAGTATTCTCCACATTTGGCCCCGTGCGACTTCTTTTTGTTTTCAAACTTGAAACAGTCACTCGCCGGGCAGAAATTTGAGTTGAATGAGGAGGTCATCGCCGCCACGGAGGCCTACTTTGCAGACCTCGAGCAAACGTATTTTTCAGACGGGTTAAAGAAGTTGGAGCATCGCTGGGTCAAGTGTATCGAGCTAAAAGGAGACTATGTTGAGAAATAAATCGCCACTTTTCCAAAATTTTCGTTTTTCTTTTGTAGGCTAAGTACTTATCGGACCACCCTCGTAGAGTTCGAACGGCGAGTTTGTCGTTGCTCCGGTATGTTTTCCGGAACGATCTCCCGTTCTTGTACCATCTTTTGGATATAGAGATCGAACGGCGAGTTTGTCATTGCGCCGGTGTGTTTTCCGGAACAATCTCCCGCTCTTGTGTCGCCTTTTGCGATATGGAGATTGAACGGCGAGTTTGTCGTTGCTCCGGTGTGTTTTCCGGAACGATCTCCCGTTCTTTTACCGTTTTTTGCGATATAGAGATCGAACGGCGAGTTTGTCGTTGCTCCGGTGTGTTTTCCGGAACGATCTCCCGTTTTTGTGCCGCCTTTTGCGAAATAAAATCGAACGGCGAATTTGTCGTTGCTCCGGTGGGTTCTCCGGAACGATCTCTCGTTCTTGTGCCGTCTTTTGCGATATAGAGTTCGACCGGCGAGTTTGTCGTTGCTCCGGAGTGTTTTCCGGAACGATCTTCCGTCCTTGTACCATCTTTTGAATATACAGATCGAACGGCGAGTTTGTCGTTGCTCAGGTGGGTTCTCCGGAACGATTTCCCGCTTTTGTGCCGTCTTTTGCGATATAGAGATTGAACGGCGAGTTTGTCGTTGCTCCGGTGTGTTTTCCGGAACGATCTCCCGTTCTTGTGCCGTCTTTTGCGATATAGAGATCGAACAGCGAGTTTGTCGTTGCGCCGGTGGGTTTTCCGGAACGACCTCCCGCTCCTGTGCCGTCTTTTGCGATATAGGAATCGAACGGCGAGTTTGTCGTTGCTCTGGTGTGTTTTCCGGAACGATCTCCCGTTCTTGTACCATCTTTTGGATATACAGATCGAACGGCGAGTTTGTTGTTGCTACGGTGAGTATTCCGGAACAATCTCCTGTTCTTGTGCCGTCTTTTGCGATATAGAGATCGGACGTCGAGTTTGTCATTGCTTCGGTGTGTTTTCCGGAACGATCCTCCGTGCATGTGCCGTCTTTTGCGATATAGGGATCGAACGGCGAGTTTGTCATTGCTTCGGTGTGTTTTCCGGAACGATCTCCCGTTCTTGTGCCATCTTTTGGATATAGAGATCTAACAGCGAGTTTGTCGTTGCACCGGTGGGTTTTCCGGAATGATCTCCCGCTCTTGTGCCGTCTTTTGCGATATAGGAATCGAACGGCGAGTTTGTCGTTGCTCCGGTGTGTTTTCCGGAACGATCTCCCGTTCTTGTACCATCTTTTGGATATACAGATCGAACGGCGAGTTTGTTGTTGCTACGGTGAGTATTCTGGAACGATCTCCTGTTCTTGTGCCGTCTTTTGCGATATAGAGATCGAACGGCGAGTTTACCGTTATTCCGGTCTGTTTTCCGGAACGATCTCCCGTTCTTGTGCCGTCTTTTGCGATACAGAGATCGAACGGCGAGTTTGTCGTTACTCCGGTGTGTTTTCCGGAACGATCTCCCGTTCTTGTGTCGTCTTTGCGATATAGAGATCGAACGGCGGGTTTGTCTTTACCCCGGTGTGTTTTCCGGAACGCTCTCATATATCAATTGTTTTTTTTCGCTCTACATCATATAGAATTCCGGAAAAGCAAGGGCACGACTGCGTAGGATCTCGCCCTACCGACCGTGAGCTCCGGTCACGCGGCCCGGCCATCGGCGCCTGCCGCCCCGCGATCCGAAACCCATCGGATCCTGTAATAATACAAGAAAAACCCACGGCGTCTCGCTCTCCTCATAAAGGAGACAAAGATATTCGTCTCGATTTACGCTTCGCCTGTGGGAGATTCGGCCGAATAAATAAAGAAACACGCGTTTTGTTCTCGCACCTTACTTCACCGACATGTTCCTATACTTAGATGCCGCGTGAGAGTTAACGCGACGTGACGCGACGCGTTTTTATAAACGTTCTTGCGACCCGTCGTCGTGGCTTGTACCGAAGGCACGGCCTTTTAAAATCTAGCCGAATACACCGGCAACGCGCGTCTCGAATCCCCCGTTTCAGGGAACCGTTCGATTCTCCGTTACGATTAGCTATAGACCGAACTGCAGTTAATTTGTGTCCGCATATTTATTTTATGAATGCCTTGCACGTTCCGACGGCCGGAACATTATTTAATTGTCCAGCGAGTAAATTACTCGCTCGCGTCTGCGGCCATTCTTAGGGTGAAAACCCATGGAGCGGAATTGCGGAAGGCGGAACGAGAGCGGAACCAGTCATGAGCGTTCCGCAGTTTTTGTTGCGCGGTTCTCAAATCCCTTCCAAAAGGGGGAATAGCGGAAAGCGGAATTGGAGCGGAACCAATGACGAGCGTTCTGCGTTTTTCAGTAGTTTTTCCATACATTTTGGCCGAATGTGCAGAACACTTTTCGCAGACTGCGTAAATATGCGCTCTTCTGTACACCGGTACAGAATACATAACCTTAGAATTAATAAAATGATGTGTAGTGCAATACTTGATATAAAAGAAACACTAGTAAGGAAACATGAGTTTCAATATGAAGTCATCACAATTAGTAAATATATAACATTATAAAATAAATTATAGTCCTAATCATTCAATAAAATGCAGTTAATAAATAGTTTTCTAAAAAAGGCATATTGTATTTAAAGATTGTGAATGTTAGATAATTCGCAATTGAATTATTAATGATTTATCTTATTAACGTTTCTCATTTATTTAATATATATAAAATACATGAGACCGTATCTGTTTTTATGTATGAAATCCCGTAACTTCATAATTAAACTTATTTATACCCAAAAGTAGTAACCTGTACGAAATATATTAAAAATTGATTTTTGCAGAATAATAAGTGCGGATACTTTGGATGCAATATAACACAAAACATGGATTTATTGCAGCATTCATGTTTTATGGAATACAATGAAACCATAAACACAATCATTGTTGACGAAAATAATGTTGACTATGGGTAAGTTTATCATTATTAATTATCTATTAATTTTAAGAATTATTATTGCAGCAGTAATTATGGAGGGAATTCTGCTTTATCCCTATTTTATTCATACACTTACTAGTGTTTTAAAGAAGCTTCTTTTTCTGTGTGACGCTATTTGTGGCCTTTGGAGAGTTTGGAACCGGTTATAAGGTCAATTGGAATGCAATATATTAGTCTATTATTTTAGATAATATAATCATATCCCTCTAATTTACGATTACGAAACGTATGTAGATCAAGCAAGATCAAGCATCTGTATCAAGATCAAGCAAAACATTGTAATTTAGCAGTATTTAATTGATATGTAATTGTAAATTAGAGGGATATGATTATATTATGTAAAATAATAGACTAATATATTGCATTCCAATTGAACTTATAACCGGTTCCAAACTCTCCAAAGGCCACAAATAGCGTCACATATTTGATTATTGAATGTTTATAAATTGTACATTAGAGAGTCTTAAATAATATTATTATAATGTAGAAGGATTATTCTCTTTCTGTCTTTTTTTCTGCATTATGATTGCATCTATGTTTAGTTATATTATTTTAATGTTTGTATACTATCTAGGAAACAAAAATATTGATACTCCTGAGTCACAGGATGCAGAAATGTCAACAGAGGAATTTTTAATAGCATGCGTTGCACAGAAACCTGCTTTATATGATCACCGGTTGCCAATAACCGAGCGGACATTAGTTAAAAAAAATGCTCTCTGGCAAGAAATCTGCAATATGATGGGAGGTAATTATATAATAATTGTTTACAGTTAAAATTTTACAAACATAAGTGGGGTTTTTAAGTATAATGCAAGGATCAAAGTATTCAAAATCTTTTTAATATACTAATTTTATTGTATTTTCATCCAGCCGATACAATGACGTTTAGAAACGTTTTAATGACGTGTTTATGATGTTCCTAACTTCAATAAAATGTTTCTAAATGTCATTGTGTCGGCTGGACATGTAGTACATATATGTCATGAGAAATATATCTCTTATAATAATATCGTTAATATCACAAAGGAACCATGGATGTTGGCACTATAAAAAAAAAGTGGAAATATTTGGAAGACTGTTATATGAAGGATAAGAAAAAGATCAATGCATACATTCCAAGTGGGTCAGCAGCTTCTGCAACAAGAGAAAGTTCTTTCCGTTTTTATTAGGCCATGACTTTTTTAAGTGACTGTATGGAAACGCGACAGTATATATCACTCTTTAAATGAATGAAAATTTAAGTCATGATTTAAATTAGGAAAACTTTAATTTTTTATTTGCTTTCTTCATTTTATTAGGACGGTAAATACTTTGCCCAAAAATGTATTGTAACTATTGTCACCGATATCACCAAGATCACTATCACCATTATCACCATTACCATCTACATCACACGCATCAGAATTCAATATCAAAGAATCGAGGCACTGCATCGACATCGCCTGTGAATGCTGCAGAATGTTCAATGTCAAGCTCGTTGTCAACGAGAAGCTCAAGTAGCAGCTGTAATATTCCATCATCGAAAAGTATTAACAATTACTATTATATATATATATTTATAATTTGTCTTAAGTGGTTATTATAACTTTGTTTCATGTTAAGTATAAATGCAAATTAATTTTTTAATTTTATTTCATTCATGGCTCTTAATATGCCGTTTTAGAAAGGAAATCATCAAATACAGGCAATTTAGATGAAGCCTTTATTACGGCATTGATGAACGAGCCAGTAGCTGAAAATGATCCGATACAAAGCTTTCTGTTAAGTTTGGCCGATGGACTCCATCGTCTCCCTTACAAGGAGAGAGCTAAATTGCAGATAGAATTTCTCAGCAGGATTTTGGAAACTCATAATAAATTAGGTAATAATTGCATATATAATAATCATATATGTATAAAATATAGCATGTGTGTATATACAGGGTGGACCATTTTAACCTTTAATGGAGAATAACTCGACCGGTGAGCGAAATAATGAAAAAAGTTTCATACAAAAGTTGTTGGACAAGGAGGGTGACGTATGACCATATCCTTGAATTTGACCTTGACTTTGACCTTAGGGGTTATTTGAAGGTCAAATAACATTTTTTAAATGGAATTGCCTATTTTCGACCCCGGATTTGGAAAGAGCGGGAAATTTTAGTATAGGATATGGTATGATCGATAAGATCAAATGTCATGTTTTGAGGTCATTTCAAAGTCAAAAGGAACTTGTACGTGTATTCATGCGAAAATCGTATCTGTATACGGGGATTTCTAAATTATCTTCTACACTTAGCATTACCCAGAGACAACGACGTGGACGTGATAGAATTCTGCCTCTTTCGAGGTGCTTGTTTAGAGTGAGTCCCCTTGCCTCTCACTATGCATACTTTGCTATTGTTAATCTAGCTATTCAAAAGGTTTTCGAAAGTTGCACCGTTAGCATTTATGCAATAATTGAGCCTTCTTTGGAAATGGGCCACTGTGCTGAGCAAGACATTTCGTGGAATCGCTTCGTCTTATGCGATTTTCCATATCTTCTCTTGTTGTTGGTTCTTCTTTGAAAACAACTTCTTTCAAATAGCCCCAGAGATAAAAATCGAGTGACGTCAAATTAGGAGAACGAGGAGGCCATGCAATCGGACCCTCTCGACCAATCCATCGGTTCGGGTACCTTTCATCTAAAAACCTCCTGACTATACGTGCAAAGTGCGGTGGTGCACCATCCTGTTGGAAGAACATCCTTCGCCTGGTTTCCAAGTCTACGTTCTCCAACAAATGAGGCAATTGGTCTGTGAGCAAATCGAGGTACGTATTTGCATTCACAGTACGTTCGAAAAAGAATGGACCGACCAAGTATTCATTAACAATCAACACCGCTGGAGCCTCAATGTCTGGTGCGGGATTGTTAATGGATACTTGGTCGGTCCATTCTTTTTCGAACGTACTGTGAATGCAAATACGTACCTCGATTTGCTCACAGACTAATTGCCTCATTTGTTGGAGAACGTAGACTTGGAAACCAGGAGAAGGATGTTCTTCCAACAGGATGGTGCACCATCGCACTTTGCACGTATAGTCAGGAGGTTTTTAGATGAAAGGTACCCTAACCGATGGATTGGTCGAGAGGGTCCGATTGCATGGCCTCCTCGTTCTCCTGATTTGACGTCACTCGATTTTTATCTCTGGGGCTATTTGAAAGAAGTTGTTTTCAAAGAAGAACCAACAACAAGAGAAGATATGGAAAATCGCATAAGACGAAGCGATTCCACGAAATGTCTTGCTCAGCACAGTGGCCCATTTCCAAAGAAGGCTCAATTATTGCATAAATGCTAACGGTGCAACTTTCGAAAACCTTTTGAATAGCTAGATTAACAATAGCAAAGTATGCATAGTGAGAGGCAAGGGGACTCACTCTAAACAAGCACCCCGAAAGAGGCAGAATTCTACCACGTCCACGTCGTTGTCTCTGGGTAATGCTAAGTATAGAAGATAATTTAGAAATCCCCGTATACAGATACGATTTTCGCATGAATATACGTACAAGTTCCTTTTGACTTTGAAATGACCTCAAAACATGACATTTGATCTTATCGATCATACCATATCCTATTCTAAAATTTCCCGCTCTTTCCAAATCCGGAGTCGAAAATAGGCAATTCCATTTAAAAAATGTTATTTGATCTTCAAATAACCCCTAAGGTCAAAGTCAAGGTCAAATTCAAGGATATGGTCATACGTCCTCCTCCTTGTCCAACAACTTTTGTATGAAACTTTTTTCATTATTTCGCTCACCGGTCGAGTTATTCTCCATTAAAGGTTAAAATGGTCCACCCTGTATATTGGGTGAGTGCAAAAGTTCGTGCGGAGTTTGTGAGTAAAAGTCACACAGTGATTAGGCAAACAAAAATCTTTATTCAATCAATGATATATTCTCCATCGTTTTCTATAATCTTTTCCCAACGTTCTGGCAGCATACGGATGCCTCGATCGAAAAAACTGCGCGGTTTAGATTCGAAGAACGAAGAGACGCCGTTTTTTAAGGCCTCCAAAGAGTCAAAGTTTTTTCCATTTAAATAATTTTGCAATGACCGGAACAAGTGATAGTCAGATGGTGCGATATCAGGAGAATACGGTGGATGCGTTAAGACATCCCATTTCAGGCTCTTCAGTTTGCGCAGCGTCTTTTTCGAAACGTGTGGTCTGGCGTTGTCGTGATGAAAGACGACTCCTTTGCGATTTGACAAAATCGGACGTTTCTCTTTTATTTCTCGATTCAGATTGGTTAATTGGCGACAGTACTTGTCCGAATCAATCGTTTCGCCAGCGGGGAGAAGCTCGAAATAGATTATGCTCTTGCAATCCCATCAAACAGAGAGCATCACCTTCATCGGGTGCAAACTGGCCTTTGGCATTGCGTCACCATGCTCACCTGATTGTTTCCATGTCCGTTTGCGCTGAACATTGTTGTAGAGGACCCATTTCTCATCGCCCGTCACTAGTCGATCCAAAAACGACTCGTTATTGAGCCGCCCGAGTAAAGAAACGGCTGCAGAAATTCGCTTGATTTTGTTCTTCTCGGTCAACAAATGGGACACCCATATATCGAGCTTCAAATCGAATCCCATCTTTTTTAAACGCCGAAAAGCGGTTGATCGGTCAACGTTTAGTGCTGTAGCAACTTCTTCTGTTGAAATTCGCGGATTATTGAGCACTAAAGTACACAAAACATCATCATCAATGTCAGAAGGTCGACCAGAGCGTGGCTCGTCTTCAAGGTTAAATTCTCCGCGCCGAAATTTAGCAAACCATTTTTCCACAGTTCGTTTAGCTGGTGCTTCATTCTGATAAACATCCTGAATGTTTTTTACGGCTGCGGCAACGTTTATTCCCTTCCGAAACTCGTAAAGCATAACATGCCGTAAATGCACCTTATCGATACTCATTTTTAAAGTGATATTTCTCGAAGCAGTTTGTATGAAAACAAATGATTTTTTTTTTAATAACAGCTGAAGACGTCACCTTTCCAACGTTATATAATATGTAGATGGAAGTATTAATGACAACACTTTACGACGCTTATAACTCCATCTATTGAAACTCCGCGCGAACTTTTGCACTCACCCAATAGTTATTTATTATTTTGTGTGAATGTATAGATTCACATGTATTTTTCAACTTTTCTTCGTATTATTCAACGAGACAAAATTTTCATTTCAGGTTTGTAAGTCTACCATAAAATTATGATATTATTGACAAGTTGGTATTGTGTTCAGTATTTTATTACATATATATTGTTATGCCCGCGCGTGAAAGAAATAACTCGGGATAAACTAAACGAGAAAAGCTTTATTTACAGCCAAGAAAAACGGATCTTAATCAATCTCAAAATAATCGCACGAATTCGCTTTATGTCCGTACGCCGTGACAGGACTAAAGCGACTCTCTCTAGTTGTTAGTAAACAAACTCCTTGACAACGATAACAGCTGTCAAGTCACTCTCTATATGCCTTCTTCATAGTCTTCTCCCAAGAGAGTGGGAACAACACGTTCCCCAAAGGCGTGGGCACAACACTGTCCTTTCTCTTCCAAAATTGTCGTCCCGACAATCCCATGGAAAAAGTTGTTCGTGATGCTCTTCTTCAAGTCTATCTCCAAAATTTCACGTCATCTTTGCTGCTCCAGGGCACCTTTGGCGATCCTTTGTCACAACCTGGACTGCTGTCTCAGGTTCTCTTGACTACGCCATCTCTTGTCCCAACAGCTACCAGGCCGAAAAGTTGTCGACGTGACTCTCGAAGTCCCAGCTCACCGCTCTTCAGCTTCTTCTTCGGATAAGGGGGGGGGTATAACTCGTGGACCCGACGTTCTTTAAAAGAACACCCCTAATCCCTGCCCCGGTATTCACCCAAAGCCCCACGGAAAAACCACGGTCAAAAACCGTGGGGAGGGCGGTCCTTAACGGATCTCAGTGGAAAAAGACGTCAGCGACTCGGAAAACGGAAAAGGAAAGAGGTATGGGAAATTCTGAAAAAGGAAAAGAAAACAAACAAGTATATGTATATACATGTATTGATTCTTTTAATTTTATTTAATATCTCTTTCTCGAAAAGGAGCCAAACGATCTGCATGAATCACTTTTCTTTTATGTTTGAAAAATTTGCCTATACAAAACACGACATCACTAAGTTTCTTTATAATTATGAAAGGTCCTTCCCAAGAACTTTGCAATTTCGGAGCTTTTCCTATTGTACGACGAGGATTGAAAAAACAAACTTTTTGACCTTGTTCAAATGTCACTTGCCTAGAACGTTGATCATACCAAGATTTGGTATTTTGAGACCTAATTTGAAGACGACGTCTAGCAAAACGATGAATTTCATCCAGTTTTTTTCTTAATTTAATAGTGTACTTTTCTTCTTCTTTTCCTTTAACTGAGGGAGGCCGACCTCGAAGAAGATCTAAAGGTAAACGAAGATCCTGACCAAGATACATTTCGGCTGGAGAAACTCCAGCTTCATGTTTAGAGGAGCGAAAAGCCAGTAGAAACAAAGAAATCCATTTATCCCAATCTCGTTGATTATCAGAAATATATTTCGCCAAATAATTTAAAATTGTTCTATGTTGACGTTCAACTTGTCCATCTGACTGAGGATGAAGAGGTGTAGTACGAGTTTTTTTGATTCCTAATATATGAGACATCTCAAGAATTAATCGTGACTCAAAATTCTTCCCTTGGTCAGTATGTAATTCTAAAGGAATTCCATGTCGAGAAAATACTTGTTCAACTAAAAACTTAGCAACAGTGGTTGTTCTTTTATTTTTCAAAGGAATAGCCTCTGGCCATTTGGTAAAACAATCTAGCACAACCAGCACATACCGATTTCCATTAAGAGTGGTAGGAAGAGGACCTAAAATATCAACTTGTATTTTTTCAAAAGGAGCACCTACATTATACATCTGAAGAGGAGATTTCCCTTTTCCAGAAGGACCTTCTTAGCTATACAAATTTTACAAGAAGCACACTAATCCTCCACGTCTCTCTTGCAAGTTGCCCAATAAAAACGTTTACGTATCCTTTGTAAAGTTTTATTAATTCCAAAATGACCACCGGAAGGTGAATCATGAGCTTCTTCCAACACCTCCGAAACCTTCTCCCGAGGAACTAAAATTTGATAAACATGGTTTAATAAATTAGGAAATTCCCATTTTTTATATAAGACACCATTTAAAACAACTATAGCTTCCCATTGAGACCAATAAATCTTAGAAGAAATCTCCATAGGAGCAACAGTCTGCCAAGAAGGTCTTTTATCAATCTCTTTAGCTTGATGAATTTGTGCCAACACTGAATCCTGAAGCTGAAAATCACGCCATTCTTGTAAATTATCTCTTTCTAGAGAAATAAATCCTATAATATTTTCTTTAGAAGATTCCTCCCGTGATTCTACTTTATAACAATAACGACAAGAAGTTTCCAAACAAGGACGTCGAGAGAGAAAATCTGCATTTTTGTGTAATTTCCCGCTACGATAATTAATGTCAAAATCATATTGCTGCAATCGTTCTAACCATCTTGCCAACTGCCCTTCCAAATTCTTAAATGAAGTTAACCATCGTAAAGAAACATGATCTGTTCTTACTAAAAACTTCCTTCCATATAAATAATGATGAGAAGATTGTACAGCATCTACCACAGCAAGAAGTTCCCGACGAGTTACACAGTAATTCTGTTCTACTTTACTAAAAACTCGACTATAAAAAGCAATAATTTTCTCTTTTCCTTCCTGAAGCTATGAAAGAACTGCTCCAATGCCATGATTTGAAGCATCAGTATCAAGAATAAATTGACCTTCTCCAGAAGGAAAAGATAAAATTGGAGAAGAAGTCATCACACGTTTTAACTCCTGAAATGCCAACTGACATTCTGTTGACCAAGAAAATTTTCTATTTCCCTCCGTCAATCTAAATAAAGGTTTGGCTAAAAGAGAAAAATCTTTAATAAATTTCCGATAATATGAACAAAATCCTAAAAAACTTCGCACTTGTTTCCGTGTCTTTGGAATTGGCCAATCTTTAAGAACAGAAATCTTATCAGGATCTGTAGCAACTCCCTCAGCAGAAATCACATGACCCAAGTATTTGATCTTTTTCCTTAAAAACACATTTCTTTGGATTTACCTTAAGATTTGCGGATTGTAATCGCAGAAAAACTGCTTTTAAATTAGAAATCATTTCTTCAAAATTCTTTCCAAAAACAATTACATCGTCCAAGAAAACGAAACATTTTTTAGAAATTAAACCTGATAACACTTTTTCCATTAAACGTTCAAAAGTGGCAGGAGCGTTACAAAGTCCGAACGGCATCACTGTAAACTGCCACAAACCGTTTCCTATAGAAAAAGCAGTTTTCTCCCGATCCTCAGGAGCTAACCCCACCTGCCAATAACCACTCTTTAAATCAAGAGTACAAAACCATGAATTCCCAGCTAAACAATCTAAAATTTGATCAATTCTTGGAAGTGGATATGAATCCTTGATGGTTACTGCATTTAATTTTCTATAATCTACACAAAATCTTATAAAACCATCTTTTTTTTTTTACCATAACAGCCGGAGAAATCCAAGGGCTATTGGATTCTTCTATTACCTTTTGAACTTTCATGTCTTCTAGAATTTTATAAACTTCCTCTTGTAAATGAATAGGAATACGACGAGGAGTTTAATAGGATTGAAATCTAAAAGTTTAATATGATGACAAAGAATATCACAATTACCAGCTATAACATTTTCAGCAAATAAATCTTGAAATTGAATAAGAAACTCTGAGAAAATCTCTTTTTGTGAAAAATTCAAATGTTTAGAACTTTGTTCATGAATTTCTCTAAGTAATCCAGGAAATTGAATAGAATGTTTCTCTATTCTAGAACAAATTAATTCTTGTTTTCCAAAACCATTCTTTGAAATTCCAAGAGCCTTTTCAAACAATCCATCCACTAAACCTGTTTTTAAAAGAAAATCTCTTCCTAAAATACAATCATTATTTATTTCAGCTACATAAAAACATAATTGTACACAAAACTTCCCCAAAGTAACGGTAGCAACAACTTGTGAATGAACCTGAACTCTTTCTCCTGTAGGGTAAAATAAATTAACAGAATCTATCGGACTCAATTTCAAAGGTATTACCTTCCTAGAACTTATAATCGAAACATCAGAACCTGTGTCAATTTTAAAAGAACAAGTTGTATTATTTAACAAGCCCCTGAAACAACAATAATTACTAAGAAACATTTTATCATTCAATTTTCCACAAATATTATACATGTTTTTATCAATTTTGCGCTCATAAAACGGAGCCTGAATCCTTTTTACCGAACCAGCTCCGCGAAGTTCGGCAAAATTTAGTTTTCCTTTTGCTGCAATGTCGGACATTCTGAACGAAAATGTCCTACTCCACCGCATTGCCAACATTCCCTTTCTTTATTCTTACTCGTTTTAAAATTTCTTCGTGCTTCAACTCTTTCAAATTCTTTTCCCTTCTTATATCCATTTCCTTTTTCTTCAAAACGACAGAAAACTCCCGTGACTTTCTGTTCTTTTATTTTCCGTGAAAAACAGTTTTCATTTATCGATTGCAAAATCTTTGCTCGTTCTATAGCCGCTTTAAGTGAAACTATTCCCTCTGTCAAAAGCGAACGCTTAATAAAATTATCCGAAATTGCAGCAATGAATTGCGCACAAGCAATCTTTTCGCGTACTTCAAAAGAACATTCTGGATAAGCTCCTCTCGAAAGACGCTCTAAATCTGCATCAAGAGTTGCATAATCTTCTCCCGCAAGCATCTTTCGATTTGTAAATTGCGAATAATAATTTGCATTAATTCACCCTCTCCAAATTGTAATTCCAATTTTGTTTTTATTTCATTAAAAGTTATCTTTTCTAAATCATTTATATTTAAAAGAACTGTTCGTGCTTTCCCTCTTAAACAGGAAGCCAAAGCTACTGTTTTCGCGGAATCATTCCAACCATTAGCTTGCGATATTAGAGAAAATTGTGCAAGGAACTCTTTTAAAGCCACCGTTCCATCATAAATATCTGATTTTACTTTGACATCACAAAATACACGTTCTCCTTTAACATTCATTCTCGAATTTTCGAGATCGATAACATTACGAGATTCATTCCCTAAAATACTATTATTAGAAGGACTCATCTGTTTATCCAGTTTTTCTTCCAGGCGTTTAAAAGCTGAATCACGCTCCTCAAGCTGTGTTTTTAATTCATTTTGAATTCGTAGCTGCTCTCTCTGATCCTGCTGCCGTTCCTCCCTTAGTTGCTGCAACTCCTGAAGAACGGCTCGTAATGAATCATCTGAGGTAGCCGGTGTCTGAGCACGAGTCCTCCTCGGCGAATGTGTCAAAGCCATTTCTTTTTCTTTCCCTTTCACACACGAGCACGTCTACGATTTCTATCGTTATTGATCCCGGACGAGCCCCCAAAATGTTATGCCCGCGCGTGAAAGAAATAACTCGGGATAAACTAAACGAGAAAAGCTTTATTTATAGCCAAGAAAAACGGATCTTAATCAATCTCAAAATAATCGCACGAATTCGCTTTACGTCCGTACGCCGTGACAGGACTAAAGCGACTCTCTCTAGTTGTTAGTAAACAAACTCTTTGACAACGATAACAGCTGTCAATCACTCTCTATATGCCTTCTTCACAGTCTTCTCCCAAGAGCGTGGCAACAACACGTTCCCCAAAGGCGTGGGCACAACAATATATATATATTCAGTAAACAATTTGGCACCAAATTGTTTACTGAATATGTCGCCAAATATGACCAAACTGACGGCAAATTCGGTGCCATTTGCGTCCGTAATAGGCTTGGATTTTGCTAACAAAGCTTGGTGACAAAACCTGACGCCAAATACCAAGCAAGACTTGCGCGGCGTAGTTTGGCGCCAAACAATGTCACACAAATCTTGGTCCGTATTTATCGACAATTTGGTGCCAAACTGTGTCGCGCAAGCTTTGCTCAAAATTTGGCATCAATTTGGCGTCAAACTGACGTCCAAATCTTGCTTGAGTTTTGGTTTCAATTTGCTGCCAAAGTTGGTTAGCAAATTTTGTCTTCTTTTTGCTGACAATTTGCCAACAACCTCTCGAGCAGATTTTTTGCCCAATTTGGTGGTTTGTTAACAATATTTGTAGCCAAGTGTTGGATTAAATTTGCTCGAGCAGATTTGGCTATCCGGGTATATATATATAAATGTTCTCGAAAAATATTCCTATTAACATTAATATTTGGAAAGCATAAAATATGCACAAAAAAACAATTTAAGTTTTTTATCAAATGTATCCATTTATTTCTATGTGCAATGTTAGTGCTTTATGTGTTATATTTAAGAAATAAGTTTGAACAAGAATGTTTTGTAAAGAAAAGATTTATTTTTATGTTGAGTTAGGTTCAAACAATTAATATTAATGTAATGTATAATATTAATACCTTATTAAGAAGCTGTGTTCAGTTACGTTGATACAAATGAAAGTACAAATGAAAAGTACAAAGTAGACTGTTTCCGTCGGGTTCAGCCGACGGCGATCGCGCGGTATCGCACAGCACTGTGCGCGAAGGGCGCCAGTACGCGATCTGAATCGCTATAGGAATAGGGGTGTAGAAAGCCGAGCGAGTATGACGACACACAAAATAAGTTTATTCTATTGTACAAAGAAATAGCCGTACACGGCGGCGAACAATCGAGCGATCAAGCGGCGCTTGCGGACGCGACGTTCGCTGACGCGACGCTGCGCACGAAAGATGGAGACAATTGCAAATCGGGCAATGCAAGCCACGCAAAGGAATGCACGTTAAACGCGGCGAGTGCTCGATGTACCAATGGGTACGCGATCGAGCGTCGGAGAGTGGCGTGCGATCCAGGCGCGAAGAACAGAGCAACTTCCCGAAATCGCAACCGAGTGCAACGATGCAGCCACGACGAAGTAATAGCACCGATCGTGCGGACAGAAAACTTAGTGAAGATCGCGCTCGCTCTATGAAATCGAAAGTAAAAGACCGCTCGGTAGAAAGAACAAATAAGCAGAGAGAGAGATGAAATCTCGGTCTCATTTATATCCTTTTTTCAGCTCGAGCTGGCAGATAAGGATTGGCTGTAATTCGTTGGCTGTAACACGCCGTGATCGCATGCTCGGGGTCTGCCCGACATACACGGCAAATACGCGGCAATAAACATTGTTTCGAACGTTCCTCGCCGGGGATCCCGTGGCCCAACATTCGGCGACGAGATCCTCGCTAGCCGAGCACGCATGGATCACGCGCAAGCTTCGTGAGGTCGAAGCTAGAAGAATATTTAGATTCTTCCAGAAAACCGTTGTGCACGCTATGACCCCGAACATAGACAAAATAAAGAAGAACATATTCTTTGTCAACAACAATTCTCTTTATTTTATCGTTAACCAACATTGAAACTGTCCTCTAAAGCATACCAAAACGACCATGAAGAAAATATAATTAAAATTAAAATAAAATATAATGTTATTTAAAAATCATTGTTCAAGGCCTTATCTCACTGCCACTCAACTGCACCGGAATTCATAAAATAATCAGCATAATATTGTCGTACTTGTGCAGCATATGGACCATGTAAACTTTTATGGAGCTTATCCATTTCTGTAAATGCACTTGCGTCAATCAAGTTTGCATTATCATTTGTCATATTGGAGTAAATTCTTTGTCCTGAAGGTAGAGTCGCTTCATATTGTATTATAAAATTTTGCAGAGCTACTGCAGCTTGCACAATTTTAACTGTTGTGGTTACAGAGGTGTTAATTGGTTTCCGGAAGATTCTCCACCGAGCCACAAGCAATCCAAAGCTGCTTTCGACTACTCGTCTCGCTCTGCTTAGGCGATAATTAAATACTTTCTTTCTTATGTCGAGACGCTTGCTTCGAGGGAAAGGTCGCATCATGTACGGTCTTAAAGCAAATGCCTCATCTGCCACCAATACATATGGTAGCTTCGGCCCATTCACTTCCACTTCGGTTGGTTCAGGTAGATTCATATTATTATTTTCCAAACCGATACCAACTTCACTCCTTCCAAATACACCTCCACCACTCTATCGACCTTCAGCACCAATATCCACTATCGAAAAGCAGCATTTTGAATCGTTAATGGCCATTAAATTTATGCTGTGTTTTCCTTTGTAATTATAATAATTCGATCTACTATTTGGTGGGGCCTGCAATAATATAAACTAATAAATTACAATTTATATTGTCAAATGATTGTATAATATATACATATAATAAATAAATTTATTTACAATTCTCGTGTCATAATTATAACTTGAGAACTTTAAATTTGTTTATTTATAATATGTTGAAACATTTAAAATATCTCTTTAGATCATCTAATGCAGAAATTATATGATATTTACAACAATATCTATGTGTTTGCCATCTAGCGCTCCAATACAGTTAGGATAGTCCCACAGAACCTCAAAGTCTTTAGCTATTTTTCGCCAGTTTTCTGTCGTTGGAGTAAGGAAAACTTTTTCTTTCAATTCGTCCCAAATACATTGGCAAATTTCCGAAATTATCGTACATACAGTATTATATCCTACATACAGTACATACAGTATTATATCCTACACGAAATCCATACGATATAGATTTCATACTGTCACCATTGGCTAAATATCGTAAAGTAATTTCCAATCGTGTACATGTTGCAATTGGATCTCGAACTACATACTGCTTCTGAATTTTTGGTCCAACAATCTTTTGTAATTTCTCAAATAACAGGTATTATCCGTAAGAAATTAAAATATAATGGATCATTGGAGATCAACAGTTTTGAAATTAGGTTGTCACTGTCACTCTGCAAAATTCTTTTTTCAGGCGTAAAAATAGGGCGAACCCAAAATCTCCTTTTCTGCTTCTCTTTCTCATGTTGCTTAATTTTTTTATAAATTAAAAATAATCTGAGCCACTTCTTTTGCACCATTTGCTTATGTATGACATACATTGCAGAGTATCTCCATTTCCTCCAATATTTGTACATGTATAACAATACAATTTTTGAATCCATCACAATGTTGTATCTGTTAATAAACAAATTATCACATGAAATCAATATTAATACAATATCCCTAATAAATTAAGTATTTTATTTTATATCATATATATTGCTTCTCAAGTATTATTAATTAAAATTGCAACTTTTACAGAAGCAACAAATAATTATAATAATTAGTTTTCATTACTACTACATTATCGATTTTCCTTTGTTACTCAATAATAATAATTAAAATATGATAATTTGTTTGTCTAAAATAAACAAATAATTTATTTATACTCACAATATTGCTCCATGCTAATGTACATATCTGCTAATTGTTTGCGCTAAAACAAGAGTCCTCATCCCCATGGAGCGGAATTCGCGTAAGCGGATCAGACAGATAGCCAATTACACTACGATTTTCGTTACTTTCTTTATCTAAAACTTTCTTTATCTTTTCTTATCTAAAACCTAAATAGTCTTGTGATTGGCTATCTGTTTGATCAACTTACGCGAATTACGCTCCATGGAGATAGAGGTTTTAAAAAACGCGCAACGGAAACTGCGGAACGCTCGTGATTGGTTCCGCTCTCGTTCCGCCTTCCATGATTCCGCCCCATGGGTTTTCACCCTCATATACAGCGACGATAGCGAAACAAAGCCGCGCGACAAAAACAACACCTAAACATTGGGACACCGCGCAATAACACGCGGTCGCTACGTAAAGACGAATAAAGATTCATTTTCTACACACACACATCGATACTATTATTGACACATAAACCTTCTCCTAAAATCTTTCCTGCGCTCGAATCGCAGCAAACGATCCGACGCGCAGGACCGGATCGACTAGAAAACCGAACCCGGAGGCGTGATCGTTACATGGCGATCCTGCCAGGATCCGGCAAATAAGAGAAGGTGCGAGAAAGTCAATAAGTATAGAAACTGAAGAGAAAGAACCAGACTCAAAATGAGTACCGCACCCAGAGCTTGGATACAAGAACTAATAAAGCTGAGATCAGCCAACGACTCGGCCATTATGGCCTAGACACGAGAGGCACAATTGACGACCTCCGACGTCGCCTTCGCCGCTTCATGACAAAGAACCCAGGTCTATTTATTACCCAACCTACCGACCGCTGGGTGCTTAGCCCACCCCGAATACCAAGCGCAGCTAGCACTGATGACGAACCGATACCAGGATCCTGCTATCAAAGCCCCCACCGACGCCGAAACGATACACGAAATTCACAAATGGGATTGTAAATTTACGGGAAAGGATCCCCTTAATTTTCTGGAGCGAATTGATGAGCTCTGCGTCTGCTACGGACTCACTACACGGCAATTATTCTGGGGAATCCCGGAGATGCTTCAGGGGGGATAGTTTCTTATGGTATCGAAACTATCGACCCAATTGGCGGAACTGGGACGATTTTTGCGCTGCCTTCCGCGAGCAGTACCTACCGCTTCGATACCGCGAGGAAATGCGACGCTAATTCGCCGAACGACAACAACGGCCCCAAGAATCATACCGAGAATACGAGAATGCGCTATTCACCCTGATCTGACGCAGTGGCGATAGCGATGAAATTGATAATACGCTGGGCTGCCTCCACGATAATTTGGACCCAGGATATAAAATGTTCTTAGGAGTTTATGAAGTACGGGATATTGCGTATCTCGGCCGATTAGTTCGGAAATACGAGGAGCTAATTCGGCAAAAGCGAATTCAGGGGAAACCGCCCCGATTAAACGGACCCACCGTAGCCACCATGGCGTATGACTGCGAGGCATGTTATTGGCGGTGCAAGCAGCCAGGGCATCAGCGACAAGGATGCGATCAACCCGCCCTCAAGTTTTGTTCACGATGCGGGAAGGAAGGGGTACTCACGAAAAACTGCCACCCGCAGCCGGGAAAAGCAAACCTAACCGGGGATGGAGCGGACTTTTCCCGGTCCCACGAATAACGTATACCCCGCGCCCCATAATCATCGTGCGTTACCGGAATCGTCCTTTTAGGGCACTAATTGACTATGGGGTTGAGACCTCTCTGGTAAGCGCCGAGTACTTAAGGCCCGAGGATCGACCCATCGGACCCCCCACGAAGATAACCTTGACCAACGGCACCCCCCCGGTTGCCACCTGCGGACATACTCACCTTATGTTTTGGGTGGAAAAACGACAATTCCATCACCGCTTCACGGTTATGGACAATTTGACAACACCGATTATCATTGGCATGGATTTGTGGGTCCGACTCCACTTAATTCTACAACCACCGCCGCCAGCGACCGCAACTCATACCCCTAGAATTGGGGAAGTCAAAGAGATCAGACAATCACCTGTCATGAGTGAGGACGAAGAATTGCAAATCTTTCTGCGCCAGGAACTGGGAAAATTCAACACCGTTTCCGGACCTATCCCCGCTATCCGCCACAAGATCCGACTACAACGCGGGACGACTTCCATCAAACAACGTTACCGACCATGAAATCCGGCTATGCAACAGATCATTAACGCCGAAGTAAATCAGATGGAGGCCGACGGTGTCATTGAACCTTCCAACAGCGCCTGGAGCTCCCCTGTGGTCTTCGTCAGGAAGAAGGATGGCGGCTATAGGTTCTGCATAGATTTTCAGAAGGTTAACGAGGTCACGGAACGAGACGTCTATCCGCTACCACAAATAACCGCCACACTGGACAAACTGCGCGGGGCACGCTACCTGTCCACCTTGGATCTCAAAATGGATATTGGCAAGTACCACTCACCCCGGACAGCAAGGCCATTACCGCTTTCATCGTGCCCGGCCAGGGACTCATGCAGTTCCGGGTTTTGCCGTTCGGATTCCACTTCGCACTCGCTACGTTTCAATGATTAGTGGATACCGTCCTCGGACCAGATCTCGAACCGAACGTTTTGGTGTACCTCGATGATATCCATCATCCTGAGTCACACCTTTCAAGAACATCTCGCTCACTTGCGGGAAGTATTTCGACGCCTAAGGAAAGCCCGGCTCCGACTAAACATTGACAAATGTAATTTCGGATGCCCCCGGTTGAAATATCTCGGCCACATCATCGACAAGGAGGACACTCACACCGATCCCGGGAAAACCAGCGCCATTGCAACCTGGCCGCCACCGACCAAAAAAAGGTGTGCCAATTCCTCGGTTTCGCATTCTGGAACCGCCGTTTCGTGTCAAATTTTTCGCAAGTCGCAGTGCCACTGACACGTCTAACAAAGAAAAAGGAGAGATGGAGATGGAGCAACGAGGAGGAAGACGCCTTCCAACGTTTCAAAAACGCTCTTACTACCGCACCGGTCCTAACCTGCTCAGACTTGCTCAGACTTCGAGCGACGATTCATTCTCCAGACGGACGCCAGCCAATCCGGCCTTAGGGCCGTGCTAACCCAGGAGACCCCGGAAGGAGAAAAGGTCAGCGTCTACGCCAGTTGCACTATAAACGAAGTCGAGAAAAACTATAGCGCCACCGAATTAGAGCGTTTAGCTGTAATCTGGGGCATTCGAAGGATGCGCGAATATCTCAAAGGGTACTGCTTCACCGCCCTCACCAACCACCAGTCCCTGAAATGGCTACAAAAAATGGAATCCCCGACCGGCCGACTTGAACGCTGGAAATTTGGACTTCAACAATACGATTTCGAAATTCATTATCGTCGCGGAACAAGTAATCATGTAGCCGATGCCTTATCACGAGAACCTGAGGTAGCCACCATCACCATCAGGCCCGCCTGCTCATGGTACGAAAACCTGAAAGCCCAGGTGATCAGGCACCCGGACGAACACCCTGATTATGCCTTACGAGACGGCCACGTATTCCGTCACTTTTACATAGTTTGGACTTCCGGGAAAGTCCGATCGCCTCGCAATGGAAGCGATGCCTCCCCACTCACGAACGAACCGCCACCCTGACCAGGATGCATGACGATCCCGCCACCGGACACCTGGGCATCGCCAAAACCATTACGCGAATCGCCGAACAGTACTACTGGCCCGGCATGGCCCGCGACATTGCACAATATGTTCGAAGATGTTCAACCTGTTTCACGCACAAAGCTTGCTAACAGAAACCCCCCGGCCTACTGCACGCCACAGCAGTCAAGCGACCATGGGAACAGGTGACCATCGACCTGGTGGGACCATTGCCGCGATCTCGTCAAGGACACACGTGGCTACTTATCCTACAAGATCGTTTCACAAAATGGCTGGAGGTGAGAGCACTCCGAGTAGCCACCGCATCGGCGGTCATAACCAGCATCGTCGATACCATTATTTACCGATACGGATGCCCCGACATCATCATCTCCGACAACGGCCCCCAGTTTTGTGCAAGGGAATTCAAGGAATTTTGTAAGAATTTTGGAATCCGCCACCGCACGACGCCTATCTACACTCCGCAGTGCAATCCAGTGAAGCGCACGAATCGCATCATAAAAACTATGATCGCGCAGTATGTCGATAAACGCCATCGCCGCTGGGACGAGCACTTAGCCGCCCTGCGATTTGCATATAATGGATGCTTACGGATAAGTGCCCGGGGTCAGTTTGGAGCTAGTAGTACACACGTCTCTCTAGAATTCATGTATTTTATGTTTTGCTCCGTCGTGTCTTTTTGAGTGTCCCGGGTCAGTACGAATAAAGTATACGAAATCAATGCGATTATTTTAAAAGGTGAGTATTACATTTACTCATAAATAAGAATATAGAAATTATGCTAAATGAAGAATTTCTAAATGAAGAATTTCTAAATTTTTAATTTATCAGGTATTTTATTTTATTATATTTTACACGCAAAAATTTATATCAACTACTTATGTCTACGCGTAACACTATTAACCTTTTGCAATAGAGCAAGAGCACAGGCTTTTGCATAACACATAATATATAACGCATAAGAGAATAAACAAATTAGTTTTCTTCATTTCTCTCTTTAGGACAGAAATGAAGAACTCTGATTCTCTTATGCGTTATGTATTATGCGTTATGCAGAAGTTTGTGCCCTGGCCCTTAGAATTATTATTTGCCGTTTATCACATTTTTTTTAATTTCTAACTTTCTTCTGCAGGAATGTTAATGAAAACTTTCTCGAAAGTATTCAGAAAGGTTCACACTTTCGTCACTTATTTTTCTGATTTTAAGATACATTTTAGGAAAGATAATTGTACTTCTATTTTTTTATATGTCAGCAGCACGGAAATTAGTGAGATGGCCTTTTCTGAATATCTGCTAATTTCAAAATAATATTTTACTTATTAAACTTATTCTCTTAAATTTCAGATGGAGGATTATATAGAAACAGAGACCGAGGAAGTAAGAGATATGGTGAATGGTAAATATAAAGCTATAATTCAAATTTTCTAAGGTAATATTGAAGGAAAGAGTCTCCTTACATCCTCCTAACATCGAAGTGTAATCATTAAAAACCTAACTCTCTTGTACTTTGTTTCGGTTATCTCAAATCTCCTTGTTATTTGATTTATTTGTTTCTTTTAATAAAAAAATAAGAAGGAAGTTTCGGATACCTGAAATAAAGTACTAGAAAATTAAGATAAGAAAGTACTTTAATATTAATTGTACTAAAGACAAGCAACTTGGTGAAGTTTATTTGCTAAAAAACATAATTACTTTGTAATTTATTTTGATTATCCTAAACTTCATTATTTAATTTTTTTTTCATGAAACAAATTAAAGAAAAATTAATTAATTAACTAACAAGGTTGTTTGAGTAGCTAGAGCAAACTACAAGAGATTTAAGTTCCTTAGATGATAGATTTTCTAACCTTAAAATTATCATCTTTTAACTCAGTAGCATTAGTTTTATTTTAGAGTGATTTTAACTTTCATATTCGTATTCTACAACCAAATATATAATATATAATATATATATAATACAATCAAAATATATAATATAATATTGTAAAATTTCATTTGAATTGGTGAGGAAGGATTCTGTCCTTCATTATTACCTTTTCTAATTTAGTCAATTATTGTATAACTTTTTGTAACATATTTTGTT